TACTACTACTACTACTACTACTACCACGACTACTACTACCACGACTACTACTACCACGACTACTACTACCACGACTACTACTACTACTACTACTACTACTACTACTTCTACTACTTCTACTACTACCACTACTGCCGCCACCACTACGACGACGACTACTACTACTACGACGACGACGACTACTACTACTACTACTGCTACTACTACTACGACTACTCGCCCTGGACCCTAAACCGCGAACCCTGAACTCTGTTGCCTACACCTGCAGCCTCAAATCAATATCCGTGAGTTTATCCTATGCCCGAAGCCCTGACAACCTATATGATCCTGAGTCCTGTCAACTGCAACCCGCGGGCCGAACGTGGAACCCCTGAATGTCATAGAGCACTTTGGAACCGTGTAACAGTGTAAAAACCATGGTTAGTGTCTGAATTAGGCTCCTCTTTGGGTTTCCAGAAGAGACGAGTTTGTAGAGGAGCCAGGCTTGGCAAATTTCCCAAACGCTTCTTGAGGTTTCGGTTTCCCAATTGGATCGGGGGGCCTTGCGAAACAGATTGGACATCGGGTTGTCAGTTGAAACATATGTTTAGGTGGTAATATAGAGGTCTTACCAAAGCCTCACAAGCTCACCAGAAACAAATTGAACACCCCAATGAAACCCCCTTAAAGCCCGTGTACAAAGCCCGCCTGGAGGAATTTATGCAGCAACTGTGAACCGCTGGAATGCGGAAATGTTGGATTTTCGGTGGACTGGCCCTTGAGACGTAAATCCGAACACTTCTCCCCACCCCCCCACAACCGGCACTCTACGCCTGAAGCGTAAGCCGTGATCCTGAACCTAATATCGGGGCTGAATAATTTGGCCTTTCTATTCCTCATGGTTCCAATTTGCAAGTGACACCAAGACCCCATTCCGATTCATTGGGGAAATGCAGCCTCCCAAAGCCTGAAAACCCTGATCGACGCCTGAGAGTGAACTATTCAGCAACCCTAAGACCTAAACCCTAAACCCTAAACCCTTCTTGCAACCTTCATAGAATTCTTACAGCACCCCGAACTTCCGGCCATCCTTCAAGGCCCCCAAAAGCCCGTAACCCTCAACTACAACAGGGGTTTATGGCTATCATTACGACTATTACGATTATTCTTACTATTATCATCATCATTATTACCATTATCATTATTTATTATTATTACTATTATTACTATAGTAGGAGATACCCCCAAGCCCTAGTCGAATCATCAGACCAAGAGCAACTCGCTGAAGCTGGGAGACGAATACGTTTGGAAGGCGAAGGCATCCGCGGCTGGGATTTTTTCTGCCTTTTTTGGGCTCCCTTTACGACCTTCTTTAAGGTTTCCTTGGATATTTTTGAGGGCTCCTACAGGGCCTCCCATAAGGGATCTACAGGCGTTGAGGGTTCAGAGCTTTAAGGAGTTAGGGGCTTGGGGTTCAGAGCTTTGGTCTTTTGAGGTCGAGTGCGGTGAGATGTTCCCTTGAACCCCTGAACCGTTTAGAGTTTAAGGCTTGGGATTACAAAAGGGTTTCGGTTTCCGGTTGCAGAGAATCCATGTTCTTCAGGTGGAAGAAAGGTCGATGTTCAAGAGTGCTGAGGATTTGGAGTTCAAAGGTTTGGGGCTCAGCATCGGGCGCGGTTGCAAACTCAGCGATCGTTCTCCCGCCGCAGTGGCGCATTTTCGGGTGAGACTGCTTTTCCCGCCAGTCCTGTGGGTTTTCCCTTCCGAAATCGTGGCGCAGTGACGTTGATACGGTTCCTTCCGAAATCGTGGCTTCCGTCTCCAAGACTCAGCCGTCGTGCTCCGGCCACAGGCTTCGAACCCTTGTAGTTGTTTAGCAATCCTTTACAGCATCCCTGATAAAATCCTAGCTGAAGTATTCTGTGGTCTTGGAAAACCTCAGGGGTGCTGCCTGGAATCGTTCCTGGGTAAGAGATGCACTTCTGCACAATGGGGTCACTAAGGGTTGGGTGTTCGGGTGCAGAGGGTTTGCTACTCCGTTCACGTCGGGGCTCAGGGGTTTGCAGCAAGTTTATGCCAAAAATTGCTTGCAAATGGCCGTCCGCCTGCCCCTCCCCACACCCACGGATAAGTGTCTGAGCACACAGGCTGCTAAAGAGGTCTTAGCTCCCTTTTGTTTGAAAATCTTCAGACCTGGACCTGAAACCCCTGTCGCAGGTGGAGGAGCTGGGAAATCGCGGCATCACGGTGTCCTCCCAACACTACTTCTCGTTTGGGGCAGGTCTTGGGGTATTCAGTGCATGACCGAAAAAGGAGTCACATTCCCAAACCCGAAACCCGAAACCCAACAGTCCTAAGCCAAAGCCTCAACCCGACGTAGACCTAAACCTTGGACTTGCGGCCGTTGTGATGGATATGATTGTCGTTGTTCGCTCTTTCATTCACTCCATGCCCTATTGATTCTTGGTTGTATTCGGCTGTCGCATTCTGATTATCACTGGCAGCATCCAATGTTGGAGCAGAGAGGGCTGCTAAAAGAAGAGGCACAAAAGGAAGGTCAACAGTGGCAGGTCTCCTGCTAGATGGAGTAGTTTGAAAGCTTTCCAGGAGACTTCAGCTCAGGCGTTCGTGCTCTGGAATAGGGGACTGCAGCTTACAGCTGATGCATCTGGACGGGGTGGCGGGAGGTTTAAACATCCGCGCACGGGAGACGTAACCTGGGTTTTAGAGCCAGCTGTGAGATTTTCGTTGAAGCCTCGAACTGTCTCTCGGAGAGTTAGGACGCAAGGAGATCTGTTGAGAAACGAGTTTTCCAGTCCAAGAGTTTGGGCGACATCAAGTCTGTTGTCGAGGTTCATTGCCAATCTATCATCAACGTCATTGTATCATCAGCATCATCACCACCATCGTCATCATCATCACCATCATCATCACCATCACCATCATCATCACCATCATCATCGTAATCAGCATCACCCTCACCATCAGCCATCATCATTATCATCATCACCATCATCATCATCATCGTCATCATCATCCGCATCAGCATCAGCATCACCCTCACCATCAGCCATTATCATTATCCTCATCACCAGCATCATCATCATCATCATCATTGCTTTTCTTCATGCCGCTTCTGTTGCTGGATCGTGCTGGTAGGTAGTGGCAGCGGCGGTGGTGGTGCCTTTGTTGCTGTTTCTCCACGGCTTGCTGCTGCTACGGCTGCTACTGAGTACTGCATGCCCCGAGTCCATGGCAGGCTCTCTTTGATGCGTTTCTGGAGGCAACTGATGGAAGACAAGGCGCCGACACTTGTGGGTTCTGAGGGTCTCCGAGTCGAGCCGAGTCACAGCTTCAGAGAGGGTGATGCATGAACGATACATGCTCTGGTGCCCTGAAGCTCTTGGCTCATCTCCTTCGGTCCTTGCTTAGGCTGAGGGCTTGGAAGCTGCTGAATCCTAAGCTTCTCCCGACGAGTGTTTGGGTCGAGGTCCTCCTTCATGCGCGGCATCGGCTTCGCCAGCCTCGCCGGGGCAGCCCACGCATGGACTTTCAAATTCCGCATGGACATCGATTGGAAGCCCTATGCCTGGCAGAATGCAACCACGATGGAGCCCATGGGCATCGGCAAGGACATCGCAGATGGCATGACGGCTCTGTGTGACAACTTGACCATTGAGTCCGTGCAGACCGATTGGCTCGACTGCTGGACTTCCGATGGCCAGCTTGGACCCAAGCTCGTCGATGGCACACTGGACGCATGCATGACTTACAGTCATGGACGTGGATCGCGTGACACGAATGCAGACTGGTCCATCGCCATCCTCGACGACAACAAAGCCGGCGGGCCTGATGACCCTGTTGACGAATGGTGTGCCGTCAGTCAGCGGCTGGGACGATCTCGCAGGGAAGACGGTGATTGACGTCGGTGGTTGGGCACCCACCGCCGACGGTCTTGGCTATGTGACCAACAAGTGCTCGAATATGCCGTACTCCGACAGCATTACCATTGTTGTTGGCCCAGAGAACGATGATGCCATGAACATGCTGCGCAACGGCACCGGGGACGCCGTGTTCATCTACGCGGACCAGGCGGCGCTCTACCAGTGCTCTGGAGTAGGTGACGCTACAGTGTCGTTCAATTGCAGCCTTTGGGATGGCTTTGGCATGGAGTACGCTTATGTCCAAACGGGACAGAAGGGCTACGCTCTCAACGGTACCACATTGGCGATGACGAAGCCGGGCTCTATGGTGCCAAGCCTTATCAACGGATGCCTGGCCGAGTTCATGCAGACCAAGGAGTACTACGACGTCTGCCGGAAGAATGGGATGGTAGACCAGTGTTATCCCAACAGACACTTCCCAGTTGGATCCAGCACCATGGCCAGCTACGAGAAGCCCACAAACGAGCTCACGGGTGACTGCTCCACAGGGTATTGCCCATGTGGGCCCGAGCCCACGACTACGACAGCGGCAGGTCTCACCACGAGTGGCACTGTGGCGCTGAGCTTCGGGCCAATTGCAGGTCTTCTGTCCGCCCTCATCGCCTCGAGCTCAGTCTCTGTAAACTTAGGGACTCAAAGGACAGAAGCAGAAGTATTTCATAGGGATATCCCTGCCCTATAATTGGGCTTCAATATCAGGGAGGTTTACATGGGAAATCCCTATCCTAAGTTTTGCTTGCGTGCTTTTTTGGGGCCCCAGCGAACGAATGCTGGTCGGCTGTGCGGGATCTTAAAGACTTGCACCGGCGAGCCAGTATCTTATTTTTTCCTTTGTGTTTGAAGCCTCTTGGGATACTATTCATAATATGGATATATAAGGCCCTTAATAATAGTCCTTTTTTTTCGACTGCTACTGTATTGGGGCAGTACCCAAGAAGGCTCTTTGGAGCCAGAACTTGCTCGAGGGCCAGCCTGAGCCCCACACGGGAGAACCTCAGGCCCATGGCCCCGCTTCCGAATCCTGGAGACAATGCAGTGACGGCACTTGTTCCCCCCTCTCCTCGTTCGCAAGAATAGAATGGGCACCACGAGACATCGAAAAGTGTGCTTCGGCTGGGCTTTTTTGGGGCTTCTGACCTCTAAAAGCCCTTATGCTCCGGTGCGCATCACCGAAGTTATCGTCGATTCTGCAAGTCTTTGGCATGCCGACGTTCTGAGTCATGTCGTGGTGTGGCGGGCGCCACAAGTAGACGCCCGGGTACCCATATCATCCGTTGCATTCCTCGGAACAAATGTGGCAAAAAGAGCCCAGTTCTTAACCCTCCAGCAGCAGGTCATGCCGAGCTTCGATCCCTTCAGATCCACTACAAATGATGTCGTGCGCGAGGTGCGTGACCGAGAGATTTCAGCCTAGGCGCCTGGGGTTTAAGTAGGCTGCACAATTGGAGTTTGGGGTCAAGCGTGTAGAAAAGGCTTGTTTGCACTGAGGCATGTTCGACACATGTTTGAAACTCTTCGATGGTTTTGCTCTTAGCACCGCCACTCAAATATAGTATACTATACTATACTGTACTGTACTGTACTATACCACACTATGCCATACCATACCATAAGCGCCATACTATACTGCGAAACTATAGCATGCTAGACCGCCAGAAAGTCTCCTTACCGACAGCCTGAGCCCTAATTCCTTGAACCCGTGCAGCCGTAAGCCCCAAATCCAATGCTTCAGCTTTAATCCCTAAGGAACCCTGCTTCCTAAGCCCGAAACACCGATAGTCCCATAGTCCTTAAAGTAGCCCTTACAGGAACTCTTGTAGGCACCCTTATAGTAAGTTTAAGAGAGCCCTAAACCCTGGACCCTTAAAGCCATAGGCCCTAAAACCCCAGGCCCCGTTACAGGAACCCTTATGGGAGTCCTTATAGTAACTGTAAGGGTACCCCAAACCCCCACACCCCACAACCCTAAGCCCAAGCCCCCTTTCTAGGAACCCTTACGGGCACCCTAAGCCCAAATCCTTATGGGAGTCCTTTTCGTAACCTTAAGGGAACCCCAAGCTCAACGACGTGCCAAGGCCATCATCCCATTGAGCCGCGAGGCAGCTGTGGGCGGCGGAGGCGCAGAGGGTTTTTGATCGGGTTTTTGCAGGGTTCTTATAGGGTTTCTAGACGGTTTTAAGAAGGTTCTGTCCTATTCCCACTCTTCACGCCCTTGTAGATGATCCCAATTTCGATCACCAGTTTTCCGGATTTTCCAAGAGACTTGCACTGATCCATGCTCGCCCCCGCCCCCGCCCCCGGGCCGCCCCTCCCTCCCGGTCCGTCTTACTCTGTGGAATGGTGATTGCGCAACCTGGCGTCCCATGACCTGCAGCCCCAGTCGCACAATACAGCAGCCTGAATAACTAGCAACAGTTTTCTCCAGGGTTCTTATCATTTTTGTAGTAGTACCCGAAAAGCCTTGTTCAAATTAATGAAGGCTCTTTGTTAATCGACCGGTGACCAGACCGACCACATCTGCACCTATAGATGGGACAAACCGGTCCGAATGTTTTTCCATGATTTATGTGGGTCTTTGCAGCATTCAATCGTACAGCCCACGCGCCTTGAGCCCAAAACCCCCAAGCACAATTAAACCACATGTAAACCAATTCAAAAGCCATGGAAGATACCGTATTTACTCTCTCTGAAAAGTTCCTGAACACCGCCACAGGTCGTGCCATGTCCTCGATTCTGGAAGGGCGTGACGTCCCGGCAATGTGCCGCACGGCTATGTTGGTTTTGAGGTCTTCAAGTAGAGTTCTCGCTGTCAGGATGCCCTCAACCCAAGAAGACCCTAAATTATGATCGCGAAGAGCCACGGAGGCGCCAACCGGTTAGGCTCGGGTAGGGCATGACATTTGGTTTTTGCTTTGCTTGTTTGTTCTTCCCTGGCAGGTTCAGGCTTGGGGTTCGGGGTGCAGGGCTCTCAGGAGTTAAGGATTGGGATTATATCAGGGTTAGGGTTTCGAGCTTAGGGTTTAGGGCTTAGGAGGTAAGGATTTAGAATTATATACATAGAGTTTTGGGCCTGGGGTCTCAGGGATCAGGATCCAGTCGCCAGGCTTGATGCTCAGGATACCTTAAAGCGGTCACTACCTCGCGCTCGCGCCTTCGGGGCGAGATGTGCAGAGCTTTGTTTGTGAGTTCAGAGTCTGAGGCTTTGGGGCATGAAGTTGAGGTTGAGGTTCAGGAAGTCGAGTTTAAATCACGACCCCTTAAGCAATTCGATAATCAGGCCCAGGAAGAAATCAGCCAGCACCACAGCATGTCTGTGTGCCCGAAACCCTAAGCCCTGATCCCTGAGCTACGAACCCGTACTAGGTACGGTCACGCACAACTGGTCGAACCTGTTCTTGCACCTGATTGCCGCCATCTTTGCGGATGCCCTTGGCGAGAAGTACTACGCAGGCAGCGAGATCTGCGCTTGTCCGTTTCATGGTTTGCGGGGTTTTGTTGTTCTCGCGACTCAGCAGCAAGTTGTCCGTCTGCCGCCATTTACTGCGCCCCTTCTTCAGCTGCTGCTGCTGCATCTGCTGCATCTGGTTCTACCGAGTCCGTTGCTGATATGGCTCCTCCTCCGCCTCCGCCTCCTCCTCCTGCCTTAGGATTTCCAAGGATCCTGCAGTAATCTTCTTCATCTTGAGCACAAAACCCTAAAAAGCATCGTCAGTGCAGAGCCCGAATCTCTGTCGAACCCCTGCCAGATAAGAGGCTCAGAAATGTGAGCATCATGACCCCTTATAGGAGTTTAGGGTTTAGGGTTTAGTATATTGCCCCTTGCAGTACCTCTTCTCATACCTTTTACAGTACCCTTTACCCCGAATAATACCGCTTCCCCAAACCCTAAACCCTCTGCCAGACATCGCAGCCTCCTTGGCTGCCGGCGGAGCTGCGTTGAAGCAGCTGGAAGAACGGCTCCTGGAGCCTGGGTGTAGGGTTTAGGGTTCAGGGTCAGGGTTTTAGGGTTTTAGGGTTTAGGGTCTAGGGTGCAGGTTTAGGGGTTTAGGGTTTAGTGTTTAAGGTTTTAGGGTTTAGGGGTTGAGGGTTTAAGGTTTAGGGTTTAGGGGTTTAGGGTTGAGGGTCTAGTGGGCATTTCTACAGGGTTTTGAGCCAGTTCTAGGAAGGTTCTTACTACGAGGGACTCTGACAGGTCTTTTAAAATGCCTTGTGGGACTTACCAGAGCTGTTCTCCAAGCTTGAGAACCCGCAGCTTCGTTATTGAAGAAAAACCTAACCAAACCCTGTCCTGACGTCTTGGGATCTGCTTATGCTAAGTGAAAACCCGCAAATGCATGCGTGGTTTCTTGCTTGAGTCTTGAGGCTTCTTGAAATCCTCTAATCCCACGGTTCCAAATCAAAAAAACAGGCATCCTATATGTATATATATATATATATAAAGACCTGAAAGCGAAGGTACAAGCCTTCAACGGCCGGAAGCTGTCAAGCTCTAAAAAGGGAAGATGCTTGAAGCCCCAAGGCTCTATACCTAATATAGGGGCCTTGATGATTACGGATACTATTTTTGGGGGCTCCTTATCAGAGGTCTGGTATTAAACACATCCCCAAAAAACCCGATTCTAATGATTAAGGCCCCTAAACCCTAAACCCTTACAGCACTGTAATGTTTTAAGGAGCACCCTTACACCCCTTCAAGGCCTCCAGCCCCAAGGGCCCAAAAAAGTGCCCCAAAGTGTGGAGGAGCGGCCCATGTGTGCTGCCAAGACGTATTGGGCAGCCCGGCACCGGAGATTTCGTTTCTTTTTGTTTGAATTTCGAATTTCGAAGCTTTCGGAAGAGGCCAAACATGCCCGCTTAAGCATGTAACTCTCGAAACCCGAGCCCAGCGTCTATGCCTTCCTTGCCTTCAGAAGTTTATGTGTAGTGGCTGTTTTGTGCGTTCCTAAGATGAGCAAAGGGTCAAACCGTAACCCAGTACCCCACACTCTAAAGCCTTTGGAGCATGAAGGTTCAGCGCTAGAAGGGCTTCTTGTTTGGGAGTTCCGGTTTTGAGAGCTTCGGTTCTTCCATGTGTGGTTATGTTGGGTTTACAGTTTGCAAGTTTAGGGTTCAGGGGTTGGGGTTCGGGTTTAGGGGCGCTTTTTCCTGGGGGTCTCTACATATATCTACGGTAGCCCCTCAACCCTGAACCGTAAACCCTGAAATCTGAACCCAAAGCCCGAAACCCTAAACCCCTAACCCCGAGGAGTGTTGTCTCTTTTGTGCTTTAGGGGTCCTCGCATGGAGCCGCCGAAGACATTCTCGCCCTCACCTCTTTCTGCCGAACTGTACGGGTTTCGGGTGTATAAACCCTAAACCCTAGGGACTGCACATCAAAAAGAACCCTAGGGTTTAGGGTTTAAGGGCCAGGGTCCAGAGGAGTGGAGTGGGGTCTTCCCAGATCGGGATCTTTCAGTTCGACACGACAGTCGCAGTCGGAGGACAAATCTGCAGACCCAGGGTTGAACAAAAAGGGTTTAGGCTTTTGAGTCAGAAGTCTTCCGGGTGTTGGGTTTGGGGATATGAGGTTCAGGACTTTGGTATATTGCTTCGGTTTAGAGCCTCTAAGCCAGCACTGCTGGAAGGTCTGCGCCTTCGCGGTGAATCAGCACGCCTGCATCTGCCACCCCGACTCCAATCGAGGGACTTTGGCTTCGGGGTGATGTGTAGGGTTTAGCGGTTTAGGTTTAGGGTTAATGTAGAAGCCTAAGTTTTGTACCTATATGATGCCTTAGCGTTCCTTATTATGATTAAAGAATTAAGGGGCCCAACATCCTATTCTAATTATTGCTAAACCCTACATGATGCTTGCCCATTTCTTGATGCATAGGAGTTTAGGGTTATGCCTTATGCCCCTAAACCCTAAACCCCAAACCCCTAAACCCTAAACCCCCAAACCCCTAAACCCTAAACCTAATTAAACCTGAAGCACCCAAACCTGACATCCGAACCTTAGGGCCCTAGGGCCTTTGTGTTTAGGGGGCTCTTACCTTGTCAACCGTTGGAGCTTCCAGTCTTACCTCGACAGCTCTCGGAGAAGCCCCACGCAGCCCCAGACCCAGGAATCCCAGGCATAGAAAGAAGAAGACGAGGCCCGATACCCGAACCTGATGCAGCCAAAGCCCCTAGGCTACTCTAGTAGCAACCCCGTGGAGCCTTTATGCCCTAAACTACTATATATAATATACATACACATACATGTGTGTGTACATACGTACGTACGTACGTACGTACGTACGTACGTAGGTAGGTAGGTAGGTAGGTCGGTAGGTAGGTAGGTAGGTAGGTAGGTAGGTAGGTAGGTAGGTAGGTAGGTATGTGTGTATGTACGTATGTATGTATGTATGTATGTATGTATGTATGTACAAATGTATAACTGAATATGGTCATGTACACATAATATTTGCAACATACATACATACATACATACATACATACATACATACATACACACACATACATACATATATAATGCATATATATATACACATACATATATATATATATACACATATATAAATGTATACACACATACATTCATAATATGTACCCACACACACACACACGTTCAACCCTTGTGAAGTTGGGAGAGCCTGGGCGCGGCTCAGGGAGCCTCTGTCCGAAGTTGTGCCAAGCGTGGCCATACTTGCTGATTTTGGGTTTAGAGGTGTAGGTTGTAAGGGTTTGGCGTTTCGGGCTTTAGAGGTTTAGGTTTTGGGTTTGGGGCTTTAGAGGTTTAGGCTTTAGAATTTAGGAATTTAGGGCTTTAGGGCTTTTAGGGGTTTAGGTGCCCTCTTCATAGGATGTTCGGTAGGACCGGCACAGTGCAGGCTGAACCACCGAAGAAACAAGACCCCTAGACCCAGATCCGAAAGCCCAAACCCTAAACCCCGAATCCTAAACCCTAAAAAATTGTTTTTTTGGCATCGTACCATACGTAGGACGCAGGAGTTTAGGTAACTGTGTACAGTCGTCATGTTGATTGCTACCGCAACGGTATGTTCACATACGAAGCCCTGAATCCTAAACCCTACATCCGAGACTAACTTTCCGGCACGTGACCTGGTCGTTCAGAGGCGACAACTTTGGCCGACCGCCAGAGAACCCGGACGATTTCCGGGACCAGCATGTTTTTGGTACATGGCTAGATCGAGGGCCTTAACAATGAGAATAAGGATTTTCTTGTTCAGAAGGTTTTATAGGGTTCGTTTATGGGTTTACAGTCCCAAAAAAGCCGCTGCGCCTGCTGCGCAGGAGTGGGATTCCAAGCGGCGGGACTCGTGGACGGGGGAGCTGTGACCCGTCTACTCGGAGGTTCAAACCGGGTGGACATCAGGGTTTCCATAGTACAAGGGCTACTATACGGACCTGTAAGTTTTTCTTCCCTTTTTATAATGCTTTATGTAAGCTGTTTTCAAGGTTTACTGTAAGGGATCTGCAAGGGTTTAGGGTTGCTTTCCACAGGGATTTGGTGAGTTTATATAGGGCTTCCGTTTCACTGTTGGGAGAATAGAAATGAAAGCCCTACACTTGACTCAAGCCTTCTACCCTCGTCTGCGACCCAGGCCTCCTTTCGTTACATACGCTTGAAGTGCAAACAGTCTTCAAGCCCTAAGCAGGTCGTGGTACTTGGAGCGCGGGGCTTGGTTTTTAAGACTTTGGGTTCAGGCTGCAGTGATCCTGCCTTGCCTGGCACGTCACCTCTGGATCAGTGTGTCGGTTTTTGTACGAAGTGTCGGAACGAGTCAAGTTTTTTTGGTAGTGGCAGCACTTGTGGTCGGCGGCGTCGGCGTCGGTGTCATCGTAATCGTCGTCTCGTTGTCGTCTACTGACTACGGCTTCCGCTGTTGCTACTACTACTGATACTGATCAGGCGGGATAGCGGAGTAGCTGTGGCAGTATTCCAAACTCTTGAGCGACTGTATAGCCCTGAATGCGGCAGGTAGTAGTCAAGGCCACCCAGGGGAGCTCGAAGCTTGCGTCGCCCAGGTACACGCCTTGTACATGCAGCGAGCCGAAGTCACACGGCTTTAAGAGGAGAGTTTCAGAATCACAGGTTTGGGGCAGTAGGGGTAAGGAGCCCCCTATGTCGACCCTGAGTTGTAGTATCCTGTATACAAAGATCAGGCCTGCTCATATATGAACAATTTATGAACAGAATGGGATGCAACCCCTTGAGCCCTAAACCCTAAACCCTAATCAATTTACGAAGGCTCTGGGGCTCATCCCCTGGCTCCCGAAGTTGGAAGGGCTCAAACCTCTCGGTCCCGAAGCCACAACCCCAGGCTCTATGAGCCACTTAAGCTTCGGCGTGGGTGAGAGCGTGGATTCGAGCAGCTACGCTGCAAATGTACCGGAAACCCTAACCCCTAAACTTACTCAGGTATTACAACCATGACGAGCCGGCGCTCTGCGAGATGAACAAGTTTGCAGCCCGACCGATCTGCCGGGGCAAGCCTTGAAGCTGCGCACGTCAGCCCGTTTTGATCCTCCTAAGCCTCAGAGGTAAGCCCTCCAGGCGCTCAGCTCCAGCCCTCAATCCGGAACTCCAGAATCCCCCCCCCCCCCCCCCCNNCCCCCCCCCCCCCGCCCGCCCCGTCCAAAAATCGCCCACAACAAACATGATGGTGCCCATAGCAGTTCAAACAGCATAAGGAGAACAGCCCTTACAGCCAGGAACAGCTGAACATGGCAGTTGCAGTAGCAGTGTGGTAGTTGTAGTCGCAATGGTGGACGCTGTGCCAGATGCAGTGGTTGTGGTAGTGGAAAGAGCGACAGGCGGTGGCAGTTGTGATGGTGGTGGTCGTCGTCGTAGTAGCAGTGGCAGTGGCAGCACCAGTCGCAGTACTAGTAAGAGTAGCAGGAGCAGTAGGAGCAGCTTGTTGTGGACAAAGCCTTCAACGTTTCTCATGACACTGTTGATGATACAAATCCTGCATTACCTTAAGGACCCTAAACTATGGGAGTTGTGGTACATTCCTTATTATGGGTGAGTAATGCAGCATTTAGATCATCAGCCGCAATATCAACGCGAACAGTCCGTAACACCTTACGGTCCGGGTGGCTCGAACAGCAGCCCGAAACTCGAAGCCTCATTGTTGCAGCCTCTGTCTTCTGAGGTGTTCACTAGAGGATGGGGGGCTTTTTAGGTAGGGCTTTACTACGTACAGCGCATAAATGAATGTATGCATGGTCTGCACATGTGTGTGTAAATGTACAAAGATGTACATACCCGCATGAACCTCACTTGTAACACTACTTACCAAGTCCCTCCAAACCTTTAAGAGGGTTTACATGGCTTGGGATTCCGGCGGCGAGATTTAATGTAGGAACCTGATTAAGAAACCTTGGCCCTATAACCCCAATTTATTAGGATTCATATCAGGAACCCAAATAAAGGACCCAAGGCTTCTCAATCAGGTTCCTATATTCGGATTCCGGTGCAGGCTCCTCGGCTCGCGCCTTCTGAGGGCTAAACCCCTAGACCCCTAAACCCTTAAACCCTAAACCCCTAAGCCCTAAACCCCTAACCCCCTAAACCCTAGACCCTAACCCACCCCCCGAAACCTTAAACCGAAAGCTCATCGACCCAAAAAACCCCAAACAGCCCGGAGCCCCAGTCCCTTGCCAAGGATGCCATGATGCGGCATCTCAACCGCACCCTCCCGGACTTCTCGCATTTGGTCGTAGCAGGTACCAACTTCGAGGTCTTCACCCGGGCGTGCCTGGGCTTCAAGGAGCTTCGGGGGCTTTGGGCTTAGGGTTCAGGGTTTAGGGGTGTAGGGATTTAGGGTTAAGGGGTGTAGGGGTTTAGGGTTAGGGTTTAGGGGTTGAGGGTTTAGGGTTTAGGGCTTCAAGGTTTCGCAGAGTCGTTTTACGCAGTTGGGCTGCGTGGCGTCGAGCGATGCACCATGTGCCAGAATTGTTTAGAACCTCGACAATCAGAAACTATTCATTGTGAACCCGTGTGCTAGTGATAGAATGGCATCTTCCTAGACCGATGCCTGACTGATAGCATCTAGCGGACACTGTTCAAACAGAGTTGGCCCTAAGCCACTACGTTGCGAACCTTACGTAATCTTCTAGCGTCAGCCAGAAGCTCTAAGCAACAGTTGGAGCCTCTTTGGAGCCCAGAAACCCCTTTGCAGAACCTAAAGAACCGGCATAGAACCCCTACAGAGCTTGTCACGGAACCCCGATCACACCCTTACCTCACCTGGCATAGAGCGCTTAGGTTCTGTTTGGGTTTCGGGTCAAGGATTTATGATTTAGGGTGTAGGGTTTAGGGCATAGGCCCTGATACTGCAAGAGTCCTAACCTAGGTCCGATTCGTGGTTCAGGGTTTTCGGTTTAGGGTCGAAGGGCTTCAGGTTTTAGGGTTTGAGAATCTTGTGCTTCATGTGTGACACGTACTTGCGGAAGGTGAAGAGTTCGCAAGAACCTGACCCGTCAACCCCTAAACCAAACACCCTACGCCCCCAATAAGTGGAGTTCCTCCGCTGGCTTCTCGCATGTGTTTCTCTGCCCGCTGGAATACCCACAACACGCCCCACAAACCAACCCTAGACCTGAAAACCGACTCGAATCCTGGATCCCCACAGTCCGTCCAATTCTGAAGACAAAATAAGCCCAGTTCGAGTCTCAGGTGGTGCATTGCAGAGATCGTGGAGTCCGGCATGTCGGATATCAAGCAGCGCATCCTGCGCTCTGCCTAGCATTTAGGGTCTTAGGTTTTGGGTTTCGGGTCCTGTTTGCATGGTTTGAGGTGTATATGGTTTAGGCATCTTGCGTCCATAAGTCTGGAAGTCTGCAAATCTGACCTGTTGGATCGAGCCCTGAACTCGACATACCAGATGCTGCTTCAGGCAAGGTTTAGGGGTTTTAGGGGTTTTAGGGTTGAGGGCTTAGGGTTTAGGGGAAAGGGAGCCGAGAAGCTTCAGGCAGAGCAGAGTCCCGTGGCTACACCACTACTCAGACCACCCGTGCAAGCAGAAGGTAGAGGCGCTCAGGTTTCAGGGTGAAGGAACGCCCTTGGAGGGCCCCTGGGTTTCAAGGAACCCCAACCTGTTCAGTCTGGCCTGAACTGCCAAGGATTCACTCCGAGGAAACCCTTGATTGCAACTACCAGCGGCTGACGTGCATCGATGTGCGCCAGTGTCAAGCCACACGTCCCGAGGACGGTTCACGGATTTCAGGTGCTTTGTTCGTCGTCGCAATCGGCATCGCCGTGTCGGACGCGAGAACCATCGCCAACTCGGTCCAAAGCCATCACGGTCCCCGGCGCATCCCGGCCAGTGCATCCCGTGCGGCTCCATACCATCATCACCGTCATCACTACCATCATCATGATCATCATCGTTAGCAGCAGTATCTTCATCGTTAGCATCACCATCAGCATCATCAGCACTGCAAGCCGTTCCGACCCACTTATGCTTTGCTAGGCCCTCTGGCAGGAAAGGGGAGTCCAAGACCTTAGAACCCCCACACCCTAAAATCCCGAAGCCTAGACCCAAAACCCTAAACCCAAACCCCCTGACCTCAAAGCCAACAAATCCGAGCCTCAACCCCAAACCCTAATCAACCTATACATCTGGCAGGATAAGGAGATGATCCTCAGTAACATCAGGGACTTCGATGAGTTTAATGCCGCCCTGCATTCGGCCATCTACGGCTCCGAAGGCCTCAAATTACCCAAATAGGGCTTTGTATTGTTTTCTGGAGTTTGTCTAGAGTCGTTGTAGGGTTTTTGGAGGGCTTTACAAGAGCCATGAAGGTATGTTGTCTACGGGGGCTTCTGGGTAGGGCTTTCATGTTGGGTCTTGTCGGCATTTGTGTCGGGTTTTACGGGACGTTACTTTGGCTAGTTTAGGCGCCTGAATAATGGGGTACTAGAAGGGTGGCCATGAAGGGGTTCCTTTAAGTTTTATTCTGTGGAATCTAAATAACTCGCATGAGCATTCCTTCATGGTCCCTATATGAGTATACTGCAAGATACCCATTCTGCTGAATAGGGCTTTGGAGTGAAGGACCCAGGGAACCCTAGCCGGTAAACTCTGAAACCCAAACCCATCCATGCCTCGGAAGGCATGATGACCAAGTTTGCCGACGGTTTGAGCGTTGCCCGGCGAGTTGGCCACATGGTGCGTCTCGCGAGCGCCTGGGATGGACGAAGGTTTGCACAGGTTTAGGGTTTAAATGTCCTATCTCCGTAGACCTACGCTTTTTCGCTTTTCTGCAGCATGCTCCAGAAGTCCAGGCCCCAATGAGGAAGCCTACAAAGGGCTTCCATGCTCATCTAGTCGAGCAGAGGTTCGCGAAGTTTTGACCCCTACAGCGATGAACCACGACTTGCAAACTTCCAGCCCGGGCTCTAAATCCTGAAGACCCAAGCTCACGAAACGCTAAACCTTAAACCCTAAACCCTAAGCCCACGAAACGCTAGTGAGCGACTGCAAGGTAATTACGGCTGGCATCTGGGCTCAGGCTGGGCGGGTCTTGGCTGAAGTAACCCCTACCTGAACCCCAACCCTAAACCCTAAATCCCTAAACCCCAAACCCTAAAACCCCTAAATCCCTAAACCCCTAAACCCTAAAAACCCTAAAAACCCTAAACCCCTAAATCCCTAAAACCCTAAAACCCTAAACCCTAAAATCCTTAGCCCTAAAACCCTAAAC